TTGTGCTATTTTTTGATAGAGGTAGCTGCTATTTCTCACGGGAGATAGCTTTTCTTGTTCAGCCTGTCAGGGCTTATTTTTTTGTTTTTTCTTTTTTTACATTTTCTGTTTTCACCATTTTTATTCCTTATTATTTTCGCTTTCTTGTTTTGTATCTTTTGCTCCTTTTCTTCTTAATGTACATTCTAGTATTGAGAATACGAAACATTATTTTCTTTTGCTCTCGGTAAAGAAAGTAAGAATGAAGAGATAGGCTCTTGGTGGGCTAACAAGGTCTTCTAACTTACATGTAGGTTGGTGCGACACATCGCTTTTGGGCACACTAGATGCAGCTGGGTGATGTCGCTTGCAATTTTTATACTGTCATTATTCATTCTATCCGAGATTGTTTAATAAAGTATTGTATTTGAGCTCTGGCAAGACTGTCAAAGAGCTAAAAAAAAAATTAAAAAAATAAAACTAAACTAACTTACTACTACAAAGAACAAACATGAATGAAATCTTATATAGTAATTTTTCTAGTAATATAGATATTATATGCTTAAACATAAGAACAATAGCATTGTGTAGCTTTGATAAATCTTTATCTAATTTTAAAAGTACAGATATTGTTGTTATCTATATATATATAAACTTAAATTGTTTGCCAAATGATAAAATTATATTATATTTCTTTTTTTTTCTTGATTTTTTATCAAGAAGCTTTTGTACAAAGTTTTTTACTTTATCTCTATTATACAAAATAATGAACATGTTTATCAGTTAAAAGTATAATATAGTATAATATTAGCATAAACACAATACAAATTCTTGACAAATACTATTGAAGAATATATTCATCTATTAACTCAAGGCAATCATCAAAGATTGGTGCTATGATGTGCTATTATACTAGACTTCTAATATATCTCTAATATCAAGATTTATTGTTAATTTATCTTGAAATTATAAAAAGCTATATACAAAACTATTATTAAAAAAAGTTGCTTTATAATCACATACTTACAATTTTTCAAAAAGACAACATAAGTAAATAATATCATGATCCAAATTTTTATAATCAATTTTGACTTCATCAAGTGCCTTTCCAAAGTCTTTTAAAGATGTCTAAAAAAAAGTAAACTATAATTAATATCTAATCTTCTTTGTAAATTATTTTTCAATTACTTACAACATTAAATATTTTCAAGATTCTTATAATTTCTATGAATAAAGTTTTTTTAGGTTTATATTTTTGCAACTTTGCTTCAAAATACAATATCACTAATTGCTCCAAGGCTTCTAAAATAATAGCATCATTATGCTGTATTCAAGTAATGTTTTAGTTTTAGTTTTGTTTTCTAACATCTTTTATACAAGCTTATAATATATATTCTATATTTATATTATTTATTATAATGTTGAAGTTTTATAAAGCCCAACCTATTTTGTAACTTGTCTTATAAATATTAAAAGAATATTTAAAAATATTTTGTAATAGTGATGGTGGTGTATTATAAGATAGTGTTGTAAAAATATAATAAGGTGGTAGTGCTGTGAAAGCATTACCAGGTAGTAATGTTGTGATAAAAGTATCCTGTAATAGTAGTTGTGATGTATTATAAGGTGGTGTTATAGAAGTATAACAAAATAGTACTGCTGTAAAAGCATTATCAAATAGCAGTGTTGTTGTAGAAATATCCTGTAATAGTAGTTGTAGCACATTATAAGGTGGTGTTGTGGAAGTATAACAAAGTAGTAATACTGTAGATACATTATCAGATAGTAGTGTTGTGGTAGAAACATTCTGTAATAGTAGTTGTGGCATATTACAAGGTGGTGTTGTGAAAGTATAATGAGATGGTAGTGCTGCGAATTATACATGCCACACAAATATTTGAAATTTGGGATTTTTACATAGACAAACCCAAACAAATAAGATTTTCCAATTATAGTAAAACCTCTCTAAGTGCATGCTCGTGGGACCAGGCTATAGCATGCACTTAGGAAGGGTGTGCATTTATAGAATTAGTATTTTTTTTCTACTCTACTACAACAATTAATAGTATTCCAAGTTTTCCCAATAACCATGCTCGTCTTTTATGTTTATTTATTACCTACCTCTCTGAAAATATCTGACAAAACTACCATTCCAATTGGTAGAACATTTATATTGATCACATGTGTACATTTATAGAGGGTGCACATATAGGTCCAGGCTGTAAAAACCTATGCATATGCAGAGGTTAGAGGGTGCACTTAGCATTAAGTATCAAGCTTGAGACCAGGCTATAGTATGCACTTAAAGAGAGTGTGCATTTAGAGAGGGTGCACTTAGGGAGGTTTTACTATATATTTAAAATTCTATAAGCCCAAATTAGACAAATCCCAATTCCAAATCCCAAATTTCAAATATTATTCCAAATTCCAAATATCACCAAATATTATCCCAAATCCCAAATATTATTTCACTATTCCAAATCTTCAAATTGATATTTTAAAAAAAATTGATGCCTTAATTTTACAGTTCATATCTTAATTATTTAATTTATAGTCTGCCTAAGAACCAGTAACAAAATATAATAAAAAGTGCAATATTTACTATTGTCTTTGGAATCTGAAGTTTTTCAAAGAAACCTATTTTCTTTACTAAGCTAAGCTTTTTTAACTTCTAAGCAAAGTTGTAGAAAAGTGTCTTGTGATCAGGATGGCAGTTAAAACATTAAAATTGACCTAGTAAATCACAAAATATAAGCATTTTAGTCTTCATGACTATATGTTTTCTTTTTTATATAAATAAAAAAAAAAACATATAGTCACAAAGACTAAAATGCTTATATCTTGTGATATACTAGGCTGATTTTAATGTTTTAACTGCCATTCTAATTGCAAGACACTCTTCTACAACTTTGCTTAGAAGTTGAAAAGAGCTTAGCTTAGTAAAAAAAATGGTTTTTTTGGAAAACTCCAAATTCCAAAGACAATAGTAAATATTATACTGGTTTTTTAGTTAAGGTATTAATTTTTTTTAAATGTCAATCTGCTTTAGAACTTGGGTTCAAATAAGTAATTTGGCTATAATTTGAGATTTGGAACTAGGGATTTGAAATTTGGAATTTGGGATCTGGCTATAATTTGGGATTTGGGACTAGGGATTTGGGATTTGAGATTTGGAATGGGTTTGGGATTTGGGATGGGTTTGGGATTTGGGATGGGTTTGGGATTTGGGATGGGTTTGGGATTTGGCCAAAGTTTGGGATTATATCAGCCCAAATAGGATTTACATAGAATTTGGGTTTGAGTGGGATTTTAAAGATTTGTAGTTTGTGCGGCATGTATACTGTGAATGCATTATCAGATAGTGATGTTGTGGTAAAAACATCCTGTAATAGTGGTTGTGGCATATAACAAGGTGGTGGTGGTGCTGGGATGCATTATCAGATAGTGACGTTGTGGTGGGAGCATCCAACACCAACAGTGCCTTCTAAAATTTTAAAAAATCAGACAAAAAACAAATTATGAAAACTCTTGATTTAATCAAACCACCATATCAGCGATTATAATTACATTCACATCCTTCACTTCTTTTTCATGACTCTCAATTACCCTCTAAAATACAAAATCTCAAGTCAGTATATCGGTATTACGAAGCATAGAACAAATAAATGTATGTACATTTTCAAACCTATTCTTTAGTTCAAGAAATGCTTGTTTGCGCTGATATTCAGCCTCTGCAACAGCAATTTCCTCATCCGTTTTAACTTTCATCCATAACAAATCGACACTAACGAACACGTTCTAATGAAGGATCGTATTAAAAAGCTTGAGAATAAGCTCAACAGTATTCAATATCTCACACGCACCTCATCTTAAGATCCTTGATCACTTCCTTCATAGTCACTGGCGCGTCTGACTTTAAAATCGCACTTATGGAGTCCACAAACCTTCGATGTAGTTCTCTTTTGTCATTAAATGACAAGGTTTTCTCTCGTTCGCATACTCTAAGAAGGATACCAAACTCCATTTATTCCAGTCAGAGAAGGAATTATCTTCAGAGAGGAAGTATGGATCGATCTTATCTATCAGGTTATCTTGCGGTTTATAGTTGTCATTCATTATTTTTAATATTTGGAAAACTAAGAAAACTAAATTTATTAAGTTGGTGTTTAGAAGACGCGTTACCCGTAAAAAAAATACTCTGTCACGTATTATATAATTAAGTGCTAAAGTGACGTTAATCGATGTCGCGTGGAAGTGCATTAATTGATTTTAAAATTAATTTTCAGGATGTGCACCCTTTTCCTCTTTCTAGCCCGGCCATTACCAGTTGTTCACGTAGGCACTGTGGACTTTATGTTAGTCGCCGGTTGATGAACCGTCCCGAGACGGATTCGAAGGAGTGACCCTTTCTAGCCCGGCCATTACCGGTCGTCCACGCAAGCACTGCGGACTTTCTGTTAGTCGTCGGTTGATGAACCGTCCCGAGACGGATTCGAAAGAGAGCACGTTCCACTAATAAAAGAAAATACTTAGTTTATATGAGTTAGTTAAGTTAACGGAAGACAGTCCCCGTAGGCGTTGTTCAAAGTTAGGGATGGGTTCGGTCAAAAGTGAGTTATACAGGTGATATGAAAATAAGAATTTTCGCATAAACATATTTAATGTGTTATTATAATCATTGGTATTTAAAGAATATTATCATAACTATTTAGTTTATTACTGTATTAAAAATCTTTTAGTTAATCTTGATGACTATAAAGCTGTTATCGTTTGGGCAAATCATCCAATCCCTTCAGAATGTGGGATATTTTACTTTGAAATTAAAATTATAAACAAAGGAACAAACGGGTAATATTGATAATTCCTTCGTATCATCATCTTCGTTATTGCAAAATTTATTAATAGCCCTTTAATTCTATTTATCGATAGAACGATAAACTGGTTATAATTTAGCTATAAGGCTTAGATAATTTGTGCTATATCTCGGTGATAAGCCGATAGAAATTAAGCCGCTATACAATAAGGGGAGTTTTGTTTAAGCATCATTAGTCTGAGGAAGGGGCACATAAGCTCACTAATCTGATAATAATTCCCTTATATTATGAACCAAATCACCAACGTCACGTCTCTGGCGAGTTGCCTTATATCATAAACTCTATATTTTCGTATATAAATCATTAAACATGCGATACAATATTGTACAAAGCAAGGCGGTACGATTCAAATTATATAAATAACATGCTTATGCCTGGTAATAGCAAATTTGTATTTCATTTTCATATTGCACAGAATAATTTATATAAAATTCTTAGGACAATAATATAAGGAAAATGAATCGTGGGGATGTGGTTACCATGGTGATGATGGATATTCCTTTTGCGAAGTAGTGATTTGGTGGATACTATTTAAATTTTAGAAATAAGATAGTCTTTTATACTAAAAATGGAATTAACCTGGGTAATCAACATCTTAGAAACCGAAGTTTATATTTTTTAAATTAAATATATAATTTCAATAATTAGAAGAAATTGCGTGCCATCTACCTAACAATTTGGAAGGCAATCTATACCCTTGCGTTGGATTTAGATTGCAAGGCGGATCAGTAGAAGTGAACTTCGGAAACGAAAGAAAAAAAAAGTAAAAATTCGAAGACATTTGCTGACCATCATCCGAACCCACCTGGTACACATTTTCCGGGTGCTATAAAAATAAATAATTATTAGTGCATATCGGCTTATTTGATATTTAGAAAATAAACTTGAAAAAATTTAAATTCAGACAAAAACAAATAAAATAAATAAAGCAGCTATGTTGATATTTTAGGATAGTGGAGAACGCAAGCTAGTATCTTGAAATGACATTTTTGTTAAGTTATACAACTCATGGATGAATAGAAATCTCGTATATTAACCATCATATTGTCATCCCCCAATTACATCATATAAGAAAAAACCTCTATATACACAACTATTTATAAGCACATTTTTTTAAAAAAATTATCGGTACAATGCCAAACTGTGTGATTATATAGGAGAATGATTGTATTATCATTTTGAAAAAATCAATAAGATAATAAAAAGCAGAAATAAAAAACACATACTTTATATAATTTAATTTAAAAATAAGTTTATATTTCACTCAAATTCTATTACACTAATTGGCTTGCTAAAATACTCTGAAATTTTTTTCGTATCATATAGTTTGCTAGCATAGATGTCTTGTGAATGTATTTGTTCAATTGGTTTTATTTTAATCTTATCAGCTTCCAAAATTTGTTTTTTAATTTCATTATCACCTTCTTGATCCATTTCATCTAACCAACGAGTGGTTATTTCAATAATTTCTGTTGCGCT